TCTTACCCTGTAGTAACCTTATCAAACATTCTAGTGAGATATCTAGCTGGATATAATCTGTTCATATCTATTCCCTCATACCACCTTGGAACACTTTAAACAAAAGGACACAAAAGCAGTCAAGTTGGCTTTTATTCGTAGTATCTGTGTAACTGAAGTTTTTTGTGTGTGCAGCTGCTTGACATGTGTATAGAGAACTGTGGCCCAAGATTCCAGTCTTTGGTTGTGAAGAAAGATTTCTGTAAGGACAAGCTGGTAAAACTACTGAATCCAAGATATAATCTGCCAATTGACATGCAGGAGAAAATCTTGTCCTTCATCATGGTAAGTCTAGAGTAAACAGCATGTTTGTGTCTCTGCTGTGTGGTAAACATCTAGTAATGCAGCCCATTTTTGCAGACTTTATTCTTCCTGCTTCATGCAGAAGTCACACAAAATGGAAAAGAGACAACTGGAAAACTGTCACCGTCCACCTTTGACATTCCCTTTCCAGTCTGTATGTGCTCCCACTGTGGTTGCACTTAACAAGCAGGATGGTGGAGGTTTTGTGGTTCCTGCTGCTTTGAATGGAGCTAGCTGGAGTGGGTGGAGGGCATGACCTGCCTTTAGGACCATGTGTTTTAGAAATGCTTGTCTGACCCACTGACTGTCCATTCCTGTGACTGTTACTGTTCTTGTTTCATCAAAACTAGACGTGGGCCCGAGGTTTCCCAGGAGCTGTGGATGTGAGCGAAGTCAAAGAAGTTTATCTAGAACTGCTGAAGAAAGGAGTGGAGTTTCCATCTTCTGACACCAGCAGAGGGGAACCTAAGGTGGGGGTGCACAAGGATACTTCATTATCCATTGTAAATCAGAAACAGGATGTGTAATTGTATGAGCTCTGTAGACAAAGCAGGTGTGTCTGTTTTGTTTTTATTTAAGTGCTCCAGGGCAGAATATGACCAACCTACTTAAGCATGTGAGGAGGAATCAGTTTCAATTATAACAGCTAAGATAACAACAAAGGAACCTGGCCTATATAATAGTTTATTTCAAACTGCAGATTAGTGGCTATGTTCTCAAAAAGGAAGCATCTCTTGAGACTTTTGAAATGTTTAAAGGGTTTGGGCATGCTGTTTATCTCAAGATGAATGAGAGCTGAGTGCTTCAAACTTGTCAACTTCTGAAGGCCTCAACTAAAAGGAGTAAGATTTTTGTGAAAACACGTACCGTTCAGAATATGAGCATTATTTAGCTTTAAAATTAAGCCAAGAGAGGTAGAAATCTGTAAGAAGAGATTATTGTCTGTATCTCTCCAGCTGTTTGCACAGCCTGTACACAATGAATGTTATTTAAGCATATATCATAGGTAGCATTGTGTAGCATGTGGGACATTAAATATAAGTATGGCTCTAGCACTGGACATCAGCTGAATGTAGATACAGTTCATGCTTTTAAAGCCACTTTTCCAGAATATTTTTTCTAATAAAGTTTTTCACAAGAGTTTTGGGAGGTGTGAAAGCCAATTGCAATTACAGAATTGGATGTCTATAATCAGCGCAGACAGGAATGACTTGGATTTATCCCGAGTTTGATTTGATGATTGGATAGTGGAATGCATAAAAGCTTATGTATTTAAAGGTTGTTTGAACAAGCTGCGTGAAGAACGTTCTCAATAGACAGTAATGTTTTTCTCACTAAGTATGGTACAGATGATACATGTCTACCACATGTATGTGCCAATTCAAATCAGTGGCAAACCTTCTGCTGATCTCGGCAGCACCAGACCTGAACACAGTTTTTACCTCACTCTCTAGGAAGTGAAGGACTCAGATGTGTGTAGTCTCGTGCAGGTGGGGTTTTGGATTTGGGGTTGGGGTTTTTATTGGTTTATAGCAGTTGGTTCAAATGCAGTGCAAGTGAAGCTTTCTGCAGACAAAGCGTTTCAGCTTTTCAATCCATAAGGCCTTTGTAGTTTGATTTCTGCAGAGACCCAGATTTCAGTTCCCAACTTTTCCATTGCTTCCAAGTGTGATCACATTCTAAACTACCCTTTGTCGTAAAATTGCAGTGGCATTCTGAGAAGGACTCTTGGCTGTTAGATGGCTCAAGAGCTAAAGGAGCTAGCCTGTTCATAGCCATTCCCACTTTATCTTGTGGTGGAATTTGCTTCCAAACCCATTTAAAAGATATCTGAATTCCAAACCTCATTTCATTACAAAATAACCATTAGATTTATTCTTGTAAATAGACTTTGCTCAACAAATTCCTTGTGAGCACTGATCATGAGAAAACCAATGCCTAGTTGTCTGGTGTGAAAAGATGTTTTGTAGCTCTGTCATCAGGATGTCTGCTTCAATTCTTTTGTAAACCTGAACTCTGTTCTTTTGTCTTTCTGTAGACTTCATCTAAGCCTTCTACAAAGTCATCACCATCTTCTGCTAATTCTCCAAAACAGCTTTCGCCACCTCTTACCACAGGCCCAACTCTGTTGTTGACTCCTGATCAGGTGCAGTACTGCAGGTTTAGAGGATGGCAGGTCCACTTGAAATGTAGTACTAAGGTGTGATTTAAACAGCCTGGGTGCACAGACCACTGGATGCACTGGAGAATGCACTGGAAGGGACGATCAGTTCAAGTACATAGCTCTATATTGATAGTTTCAGGTTCATTCTCCCGAAGATCTTTTATATGGTGGTGTGCCAAAGCAAACTAGGCAGAAGTGAGTTCAATAAATGACAGGCTGTATCCCAACTGAAAAAGTGGAATCATTTACTCAAGTATGAGAATACCTAATGATGTCTTAACAATGTTGTTATGCAAGTTGATAAAAGTTACTTCAAATATAAGTGAGAAAGCCAAACTTACTTTTGCATAAGGCTTGTGTGAAGAGGCTGTTCCAAAAAGCAGATAGGAAAGAAAAGTTTACCTCAATTCCTGCTTGGCCTGGAAAGAGTAACAATAACATTAGTGAGAGGGATTAACTGCTAGGAAAACGAGTAGCACTGTCAGTCTTGATAGATCTTAGTTTGATTGCACATATAAAAGCTGAGCTAATTCCATTCATTTTCATGGTACGTCACCAGAGTGAAATAATGCTAATGAGGCTCATATTATACCTAATGGGGAAGAAAGCAGGTATAGAGGTAAGAATTATTCTGCTCACTATGCTCACCTATACAATATTCTGTCCTGTTGAACTCAACAGATCGGGAAACTGTACAGTGAACTGGATATAACAAAAATGAATGTGAGAGTCATGTCATCAATACTGAAAGAAAATGTTCCTGGCTCTGAAAATCCAGATGACATGAATCTTTTACAGGTATAAGATAATTCATTGATGGGGTGTATTGGTTTAGTCAAAGTTGATTTTAAAAGATGTTATATCCTTTCTTTTAACATCTGGATTCAGATCGCCAAATGGAAAACAACAACAGGTTTCTATCTCTGGTTTTGTTCAGCTTTCTCTTGTCTTCTTTACCTTCCCTGACATCTACATAGTCAGGAAAGGACAATACAGCTTGCAATGCAAATTTAAGCTCTAGGGAATTCCAAGGGCAAAGGAATTTCATAATGGAGCGTTCTCTGTTAAGCACGTTCTGTCAAACAGCCCGGAGAACATTCCAGTTGAACGTGGTTGCCTTGTGGGAAAATAGATGATGACACAGTCTCTCCCTTGTATCCGTCCTGGAGTTTTTAGTGCTCTCTTTATTATTACCAGTACCTTAAAGGCAGCGAAGAATATGAAGCATTGGTTTTATGTGCGTGACCTCAAAGACTGGGAGCTTGATGTGCTATGGGTGACTCCACGTGCTCTTAAAGTGTAGCCCGAAGGAAGTGTATTGCAACAGTCTAGATTTGGCAGTGAACATGGACATGTTCTTTCTGTGATTTTTTTTCTACTTATTTGTGCTGAATTTTCTATTACAGAAATTAAAAATGCATTATTACTTCAGCATTTCAATGTCAGTGGACATTTTTCTGTTTCATATTGTCTGCAAGAATTTAAAAAGCTTTTATCACATCCTTCTGTTTCTAAACTTGCCTCATACCTATATGAGGAAGCATTTTAGAAACTTTGTCAGCATTAAACATGTTGGAGCGTTGATCTCATTTTTGCAAGCCTTCAGTGTGCTTCTCTTGCACAGTGGAGAACTCTTCCTTTGCAAGGAACCCTTACTGGCTCGCCTGCTTTCAAGGGTGTGCTGTTCAGCTGTGTCCATTTCTGGATTGGTTCACAGCTGGAGGTGAGATATGGTGAGATGGCATTACTGTCTCACATCTTTAGTGACAGGCAGCACTGCTGGTCTGGGGAAACCAGATGCGAAACAGATGCAATCTCTCAGTGGCTTTTGCTCCTCTGGACATTCCTCACGTCTCCAACACTGTCTTGCAGAGATTTGTGGAGCTACAAGTCCAAAGAGGAAGAGCCTGTGAAGCGAGGGTCTGAGGAGAATAGACATTAAACACAGGCAAAACAGCTGTTGCAATAGATTGCAGAGGGCTTGCTTTGCCTACACTAAAGGGCTGAGTGTAGGTTGTTCCAGCAGTGGATGCCACCTAAGCAGCTAATCCATGACTGTTCTGTGCACATTACTTCTGTAGTGAAGTACACCAGAGAGGTTGCCAAGGTGCAGACTGGCCTTAATGATTTAACCCAGCACCAGGTGGGAGAATGCACTGGTTTAATATACTCTGTCCACTCCATGACAAGGCAGGTGTTTCTGGTTGCAAACAGGAAAAGTATGTCTTTGATTTCCTGTCTCATACTGTGGGCCTTCTGCATGTAGGTGCACAGATTAGGGTGCCCACAGTAAACCAGTGGATTCTTATTGACACTCCCAGTAATAAAATTGTTGGCAAAAGTTTGAGGACAGGGTGTGGAGTTCCCATTTGTGGGAGAGTGACTGAAAATTCATTCCTTCTATGTTAATTTCACTGTTGTTGTTTCTGTTCTTTTCCCCTGTGCACTGAGTAGTATTAAAGCATCAAGCATGGCTAGCCTGTTCCTTTAACAGCATTTAATGTTCCCCTTTGTTTGCGGCTCTACTTGGATTAGGCTTTTGTTGTCAGAGAACAAAGTCCTTTATTAAAAAAGCTGCTTGTTTAGGCTTTGAGAGAGCTGGAGACATTAATTTCAGTGATTCTGATTATCTGGAGTCTCAATAAAAACTCTAACAGGGTAAACTTGATCAGTGCAACATATTTTCAGTTCTGCAGCTTCATTAGTGGCCAGGCTCCTCCCTTTCTCCACCCTGTTTTGGACAAGGCAGATCTCGGTTGAAATAATGTGCTGACCAGGAACAATAGTTAAAGAATAGCTAAAGCTCAGTGTCAGCCAGGAAGAGTAACAAGCTTTTGTACTGGGTAGTGAATAGATGTACTTGATGGACATGCAGGAATTTGGGTCCAGATCATCAGCTGGTAAGAATTAGCACAAATTCATTGGAATCACTGGTGATTGTTACTCCAGCTGGTCGTCCACCAGAACAGAAGAGTGCCTGCATCTTTGTGGGTAGGGGCAAAGTGTAGCAAATCCATGCTAGAACAAGTGTCTCAATTTCCTTCTTCGTTGAATATGGATATTTACAAAGGAGCTGGTCTGCCTGTGTAGTGGAGTCATAAGAAATACACTTTTTTTTTTTAATGGTAGTAAAGTCTGGAATTTCAGAGGTTTATATTTAATTACAGACATTAAGCTGAATACATTTTTGTATGGTTTCTCCTGGGATATGAAGATACAATACTGAAAGGTGTAATACTTTAATCCTTCTGCAGATTTGGCAAAGGGGTGCAAAGTTTCTTCTTACATAAATAAAAGCATTTATTTACGTGAAGTATATGGGTTTTGAGGAAAAATAAAATCACTTTGATGATAATACCAGAGCAATTTCTGAATAGCAGTATGCAAATAGAGTAATTTTCTCCCTCTATTTTTTCCTCTTGTCCTGAAGCAGAGCCAGCATTTGCAAATGCACACTGGGGGGCAAAAAATGTTGGCTGAGTTGAAGTTCCTGTTGCTGAAGAATTTGTTTCTTTGAGCATGCAAAATCTGCAGTGGAGAGGAATATAAATTATCTTCTATTTCAATTGGCGATAGGGCAGAATTCTGCTCAGTAAGCTCATAATTCTGTCAGCTGATTCTGCTGGGTTTGTGTTACGTCCTCAAAAAGTGAATAGATTAAGTGCTGCCAAACTTGCCCACTTAAGGGAATAGTTAGAGACTGGTGTCATGGAGCACTTCTATCTGTTTGATTACTATTGTCTTTTCTTCAAGCAGACGTTGAGCAGGATCACATCCATTACATCTCTGTGAAGTATCCTGCTGAGTTTAATCAGCTTCAAACAGGATCGAACAAAATTTGTTCTACATCACCCAGAGGGGTCTTTGTTATTTTGTGATTTGTAATTTAGACTTTAGAGACAGATACATCTTGAGAAAGAAAGGTGGGTCAGGAGGTAGGGATTGGGTAGGAGTGCTGGTTGTGATGATAGGAGTTGTCAACCTGCCTTGCAGAGATCAAAGACATGAAAATTATGCTATTTGCAATGTTTGGTATGTGTGTGGTTTGTGTAAATTAGAGAATGTTACCCAAGAGGCTGCAGTGCTCAAGTGTCTTATCATTCTCCTTCACAACTGACAAACTGGGAGACCACAGTTAGGATTTATACTTGCTTTTTTTCTTTTCCTGCCTTGGGCAGAAACTGTATAAGACCTGTCGGATGATGCAGGAGAGGATCATGGATTTGTTGGTGACGGTGGAGAATGAAGATGTGATAGTTGAGTTAATACAAGTAAATGAAGATCTGAATGATGTCCTCCTGGGACATGAGAGGTAAGAGTAAGTACATAGCCTCTCTCCTCACACTTGGTATCCTCATTGAGTAAGTGCTTTTAATAAACACACATAGTCCCTACATTTAATGTTGATCCTCCACAAGGAGACAGATTTTTACTCTTAAATCCAGGAAAAAAATGTTATTTCAAAAAGAGAAAATTATGTATTTGCCCACTTCCAAACACCTCAGAAATGATTAACAGAGGCAGCTGGAAAACCATTGGAATGGGGTAAAACAACTTAACAGCATAGACAGGAAATCAAATGGAGGCACGCAAACAAAATCATTTGGGAGTTTGACATTCCTTTTTGGTAGTGCACAGTGAATTTGTCATCAGTCTGCTACAAACCCCTTGGTACAGGTGATGGTCCTTATCTCTGCTAAGTGTATATGCTTCCAGGAAAGAATACTTGTTCTCCTTTCTAAACAATTTTGGCAGCTTTACTGCAGAAATTGGCGATGGAGTAGCCTCCTTGCATTCTTAAGAGTTGCTTGCTTTTCTGAGCTGAATTGAAACATGCTGTTCTACTTATTTTACAGCAGAAAATGTTTTTCTTTCACACGTGGAAGCAACAGAGTGCTTTGACATCCTCTATGTTTGTCTGTTACTTCATTGGTAGCATGACTGGATGCCAGCAAAACTGAAATTAATTTTAAACTCAGAATTCCAGTATTATCCCCCAAAATGTTACAAGTACACTCAGAGAGAATATTCTAGTTTAATAGGAATTAGCCTTCCATGTTAAGTAGTTGATCTCCTCCATGGCTAAGATATGCTCTAGAAATCATTACACCCCAAGTGCAATGGTTCGTGATTAAATTTGGCAGATTTAGAGAATTTAGTCACCTTTTCTTTTTAATCCTTTTCTGAACACTGTGCTGAAAATATCACTGATTCTTCTGAGCATCATGACACAAACTTGGGGCCTAATCTTGACAACATTTAGCTTTCATTTATCCTGAAATCTTATGTCTACGGCAGTGTTGGCGTATTTTGCAGTAACTGCCTTGGAAGAATTGTGTGATCACTTCTTGCATTTTAGTAAAGGAAAACCAGAATTCTGTTAAGCTTCTGTAAACCCGTTGAAATCAGGTGTGAGCTTCTGTTTGTGTTACAACTGATGAATACTGGCAAGGCCAAGAACCTCTTCAGCTCTGAATTACAGATTGTGGGTACAATTCAAGAAATTCCTTATGAATGACTCGCGTGGTGACTGAAGCAGCAATTAACTTGCCATAGTGAAACTGAACAGAAAACTACAGCTTTTTAGTAGCATAATGGTATGGTTTATGTGGGATGAGTCTTTCTGGGTGCAGATGCATTGCACTTGAGAGTTGCTAAGTATTAAAATGTATTTGGTTAATGTTTGCTGCAGAAAATTGGTTCTTTGGAACTCCCTCTGCACAATGAAATATGTAAAGGACAAACTGATTTTAACCAGCTGCATCTGTTTCATACTATGTGTATTGTTTGAAGACAAGTCATGCTGCATTCTCTGTTTCCCATTATTAATGCGGAGTCCAAATTAAATCCGGAGCAATCACCGTTGTGCAATGAACTGGCCGCATGGATGTAACTATGACTCCCGCTAATGGCTCCAGCAACTTCGCGGTTCAGCTTGTATTTCAGATCAATACTTTGTGTTCTGCAGCTGGAAAGTTGCTTGGGTTTTTTCACTTCTGTTCCTCCCTGCATAGTACTGTCTATGTGGGCCTCCCCAGTATGATAACCCTGAATAGTCAATGTAGTTGTATAGACAGTCTCACGGCCGTACCAGTTAGGGTTCTTACTTCTGAAATGGGCTGACCTTATGGATGGTGAATATCATTTGACTGGGTCTCCTCTGGCCCCACTGTAGCACTGTTCTGATTCATGATACATAAATATCTCTGCAAGTGGATTTTTTTTCCTTTTTTTACAAATTATTTCAAATGCCTGAAATAATGAGCAGGCTGTGTACCAGAATAGGCATGTGGTTTGTCCAGTGTGGGGACCTCTGAGGACGGAAGGCTGCCTGGGACTCAGTTGGAAATGTGTTCTGGTCAGAAGGAGCCAGATTTGGCACAGTGGGTGTTCATAGATAGTACCCTGGTATGAACAGAGGCAAACCTTATTGTCAGCTGTGCCGTGATTTTGTTTTGGAAGAAAGAGAAGGCTGTCTCCAAAAGTAAGCCCAAGAACAAGCTAATTGGTATTAGTAAGTGAACAGAGGACCAGAGCTCTGGGGAAGAGTCTAGTGCAGAGACAAGTGCATCAGAGAAAAGCACCCCTAGTGCTTGTTTGGTGCCTCTGGAGATGGGTAATCAAACTTTGACTGTAACTGGTTTCATAGTCTTACGAATGACAGCACAGAAACGCAAGAATGAACATTTGACTCTGCAACTTCAACAGGTTCTCCCGAAACAGAGTTCGTTTTTTGGAGAATCAGAGGATACAACGTGAGCGCGCAGAGGTGGGTAATTACAGATGAACTAGTGAACTGCAGGGCTGTAAATACTCCTTTTTCTATTCACTGTGAAAAATAGACTTTAGATATGTGGAGAACTTTCTTCTGTAGTTGAAGTAGACTTGTAGAAGTCTAACTTGTAGAATTTCATGCAAATTCTTTTAAGTAAGTGAAGTAGCAAATCATGTCAAATATAAGATGGAAGCTTGGTTAGGAAAAATGAGGGAGAGATCTATTCAAATGCTGGTTTAGTACCTCTACAGCTCAGCACTACAATCTGCCATCTACAAAATGAGGGACTATCATGTTTCTTTTCATTTGTTCTCGGTTAAGCATTTATAGACTGAAATACTATTACACTTTCAGAAGTCACTATTACTGATGGGTTTTCTCCCGAGTCAAAGCTTTTTCTGAATTGTGAATAATGGCTTGTAGCAAATCTTTAAAGACTATCCTTTATTGATTGCTAATTATGGTTGTTAATTATATTGCTCAGAGTAGTTTTGCACATGTTTCAGTTTCTGCTAAGCCATAATGTGTAGTCATTTAGGACTCAATATGAAAATGACTGCATGCTGAATGCTGAAATACAGCTGACAATTAAAAAAAAGGTAGAAGACTATCTTGTTTTCCTTGAAAAGCCACTATAACTACATTCTGGTTATGTAGGTGGATGGTTTTGCTTGATGGATGCTCTGTTGGATTAGTTAATAGTCCAAATGGTGCAGTCTGTACATTTTCATATTATTCAGGAGTCCCCAAGTTTAACATGTATCATCTTTATTTTTAATCTGGTGTGACCAATCCAGTCAGATTCAAGCATGTGGGTTTACTAAAGTCTTTGCTTGGCTACGTTTTTAATTCTAACACACTCAAATGGGAAACAAAGGGAACCCTTTTCTATGTCCTAGGAAACGTGATTTTGAACTTTCCCTATCCAAATCCATGTACCACACCTCAGTAACACAAATAAAAGGTGTGAAAATGGTAGTACAGGATCAATCAGAAGATCGATATGAAACCTGTGTCTAAACAAGCTCATGATTACTTTTTAGAATTGAGTCCATTCTGTTTCCTACTTCAGAATTGTTTTCTTTTGAAATAGCAACCTTGCTGAAACTGATCTTTTCTGGAAAGCATTTTTTGTTTCACTAAGCTATCTTTCACACACGAAGTCCTGGTATTCTCTTACACCTAAAATCATAATATTTTGATTTTAAAAGTTTATGTTCTCTAGAAAAAAAACCCACAATTTTAAACTACACAAGTTCCTCTAAGCAAAAAAAATCAAACAAACAAAAAAACCCAAACAAAAACTTTATTCCTTTTCAAATGTTAAGCTGTACAGGAAACAACCATCTGCTCCCTCAAGTGATCTACTTGACCTCTCCTTGGATTTGCCATCTGCTGTGTCTGCAGTGGTGCTAATTGACTCTGCAGCATCTCCTTCAGGCCGTAGTAAGTGATGCACATTTCCCCTGCAGTCTGGTTTCCTAAAGCTTCACCAGCAGTGGAGCAATCAAGAAGTTCCTTGTAAGAAAGAAAACAAAGATACTCCTTGACTCTGAGGCTGCTCCTTAAATCTCCTTAAAAGGAGAACTGATGGGAGTACATGGGGAAAAAATGTAAGGTAGTATAATGTTGCCTGTAGTTTATTTACAGTGGAAGCAGTAATCTTACCCCCATTACATAAATTGGCACAGTAGAACATGCTCTGTTTTCTGTTACAGTGAAGCCTGTAAAACAGTCTGGTCATTGCTTGTTCTGTAGGCTTGGAGAAAAGAAATAGAGATGTCCTAAGGTTTTTCAGGAGACACTTGGTGTTAAAAACAGTTCACTTCAGAAAGGCACTCATCTCCTCTAACTTTAGACTTCTTTCACAGTTAGAGGAGTGAGTAAAGACCCTAAGTTTAGTACCCTGAGTGACTGTTTGCAGAAGCCCCTCCTTTATTCACTCTAGAGGAGTCTATATACTGAAGTTAAAGGTGTGAATGTCCCTCCAGGAATAAATGCCTATAATTCTATTTTAATCTTTTAGAGACAGTGAAAGAAGCTTTAAGTGATACCTACAATGTACAGCACTACTGAAGTTGTTCTGACATTTTAAGGAGATAAATATATTGCATCTGAAACCTCCTCTTAGTTATTAAAATTTTGCCTTTCATGTTATAAGCAGCAATTTGTTTCAGACTCTTTATATGCCTTCCAAACAAAACTTTGCCCTTTCAATGTTCATAGTACAAGCAACTAACATTTGCTTAATAATGTTTAAGTGATCGTTAATTATCACTTTGAATTTCAGATGGCATATCTGCACACCCTGAAGACAAAACCAGGCACCATCCATCAATTTATCCACAGCTAGATTTAGCTCAGCAATTCCCGTGAGTAATCTCTTACCAAGAAATGGTAATAGACAACAGATCTTCAGAGGTATTAGTACTCTGCAATTCATCTAATGAGTTTATAGAAAGCCCTGAGAACACAGATTTACTACTTTTAAGCATTAGTTCATTAAAACAAGTGAAAACTACCTGTGTGCCAGACATTGCTTAACATGCTTAAAAATACACCTGCAGCACTGTTTAGTCATAGACATGAATTTATCTCAACAGTCAAAACATTCTTGAGATATCTATGACTTTGTGCTTGAGTGTTGCTAATGCTGCAGTGAAAGGGATAAACAGATAAATTGTACAGGTGAGTAAGAATAGTTCTAGATAAGAGAGATGTCCTCATAGTTCCTTGACTTCAATGTGAATGGGACCTTAGCCCACCTGCCCATTCTGCTCTCGGTTGTGACATAAGGTAAAGACAGACCAGCTAAAAAACAACGTAACAATCAGAATATACAGTTTTGGTAGTTTCTTAGTTACAATACAATGTGTTGTATTACTCTCTCCTAGATTTGCAACTGAAGCAGAAAAAAATAGTGTAAGTGACCCAGCCGGACACATATACAGCAATGTGAGTAGTGCTCATGTTCAGAATAATCATTCTCTGCTGGCAACTGTCATAATGAAAACTGTTAGGGTTTACCCTGACTGCTGTCCAAGTGGGATACAAAAGTCTCTTCTGCGGCCCTTCTCTACCAGTGAAGACTCTGTATTTGGTGACCAGGCCCACTTTCCACTCTTGATACCACAGATGCTAATATGGAAGTATATTTTCTTGGGTCCAGCATAATTGCAGGGGAGTTTGCAGAAAGCAGTTCCTCTGTTATTTGAGTTTAATCTGTTGCTGTGTGAAGCAAGCTGAGATCTCCTCCTGCTGCCATTATGGTACTCTGGTGTATTTCCTCTCCCAAATATGATATTAAAAAAACAAAACCCAAAATGAATATGAATAAAAAGAAAAATATGAAGGAGCTTTGAAGTAATGTTAGGAATTTGAATACTGTCCTGTGGTAGACAGCATAAAATACAAAAGATAAAAAGCAGTTCCCAAGCACACATGTATATTCTGTATTTTAAACCACAAGTAAAAGCAGACACCTGTATTGTGAATACTGTGGTCTTTGTGTAGTGTCACAAATTACACAGAAGTACATTATACAAATGTGCTGTAGATAACACTAAAAAGATGTTTTGACGTTTGTGTGGAGAATTAAGATTAATTAGATTGATTACTGTTGGCCTTAGAATTTACCTGCTATAGTCAGAGTCCAGTGATAAGTCAGCAGGTATAGAAGTTAAGTCAAACCAGTTTTCACAGAAGAGTCTCTTAATGTGGTCTTTTGCTTGATGTCTTTAGCTGTCGACTGTCTTAAGCCCAGTGCCTCTGAATCCAGGACAAACTACACCATCAAATGGACTGTCAGCAGCAGGTAACACATACTGCAGACCACCTAACTTCCACGGAGATATGTTTTTCTTGTTAGAACTCAAGGGCTCTAGATAATGGCTGTTAAAGACTAGGTACGACAACAAGCATTGATGAAATCCCATATTACCTGTGTATAAGCAACTAGATTCATAAGAGATCATCTACTTCTTTCAGGAAGATACACAAAAGTAACATGCAGTAAGCATGCTTTTCATTTACATTTAAATCTGGGTTTATCTGCCTGTCTTTATTCTTCAGCTGCATCAAAGAACAAGGCACAGTCACCTCATTACTATGAGATAATGGAATTTGATCCCTTGGCTCCTACTGAGTAAGTAACTTTTACAATAGGTAATATACAGTTGTCTTAGGTGCCAAAGGCAAGAAGGCTTTTTCTTCTGAGTGAGAAAACAGATCATGCTATTTAGGCTGAGTTAGGTGGCCAACTGGATTGCTAATGTGAATGAGAGTGGCTGTGTTTTGTATGTTTTCTTCTAATATTTCTGGCATGACCAATTAAGGTATAAGCTCCTATATGTTCATTCAACAGCATCTGTAAAAATGGGGGATGATGCTGAGTCAAATATGGTCTCCTAAAATCCTATCTGGTGGTGTGAAAAGGTGAATAAAACAAGGTAAGGTTCCTGGTGGAGGAAACTAATTGATGCTTCAGAACAGGTAGATCTGGAGCACAATAACCAAAGTAATTCCTGTTCACAGCAATCATGATTTTTAAGAATGATGTTCTACTGCATATCAAGGAAAGCCTTAATTTAAGTATATGCTACAAAAGGGAATGGATGCTAGGACTTGCGAGAGAGCAAAATAGATAGAAAACTAATAGAAAACTAAGCAGATGGCAGAACTCTCCTTTTGTACCAGTAAAGTGTAAAACATTTGAGCCATCTACACAAAACTTATTCTTGAGGAACCATTGAATTCTGAGGTAGAAAAATCTCATCAAAGATCTCTTTTTTTAATTGCACACCACATGGTGTGTTTGCCATTTGCATTTTGCACTCCTGTTCCCAAATTTATTTCATCAAAAGTGGCCATGTCCAGAGGTATCTCATCAAAACCAGGTATCATCACAGACACCAGAGGATTTGCTCCTTGTTTCCATAGAAACCTGGGCATCCTGCAGCTGGTGCTGCTCCATTAGGCAAACACTACACACTCTTGGCAGCTCATGGTTTTGTTGGTGCACTTTGTCAAGGTGAAACAAATGTGATGTTGGAGTCACCCTGTTCCTCTTCTTTCAGAGCTATTTATGAAGAAATTGATGATGTGCTGAAGGCGGAAGCTAAAAAGAACACAGAATGCTGAAGGTGAAGTCTTTTGCTGAATACAGGTTATTCTCTGATGCTGTCCCTGTTGCAGTGCTTCCTGTAACATAGAAGTGAATAACAGAACAGGTTTTGTGTTTTGACATAGTATTCCAATACTTGTTTATTGAGCTGTGTGGAAGATGAAGAGTTACTTAGTTCTACACCTTGACCTCAACGTTCAACTGTGTGTTCTTCAAGGTGACACGCATGATTTATTTTTCAAGCATTTTGGGGGCCTTTCAAATATGATTTCCAAATACACCTGTGTATCAGGTAACACTTGACATCTGTCACAAACAAAAAGGATGTTATGTTTACAGAATCTGTGAACCCAGTTTCTGTTTTGGCCTCATTGCTTCTGTATTAATCTCGGTAAAAGTTTAAAGGGGGTTTTGGTATGTAGGATTCTCTTGATAGATGTCTGAAGACATGCAGTGTTACTCTCCTACATTCGTATTCTGAATACAGATTTTGTTTTCTTCCTACAAGCCTTCATAGGAACGTGAGCTGGGACTTGAGGTGCTGTCATCCATGATTAGCAGAACAGAAACCCCCCTGCTTGTTCTATTGTTGTTGTTACTCTTATTTACTCAGTAAATATTGGAGGGGGAATCAGTAATTTCTTTCAATGTTCCTGCCCTGCAGAGGTGGATCTGGTGAAGGAAAAAATAGTCATCTACAATGCAGATGAGCAGTGGTTATCTGTTTAATCAAACTGTGTAACCCTGTTAATAACAATTACCTTAATAATTAAAGTGCCTTATCTATTTTAATGCTGAATGTAACGTGCACTTTAACAGGTATAGTTCTCTGAATTTATAATTGATATAAAGTTTGAGAACTTATTGATGTTCATAGCTGATAAGCTGGGGGGGGTGTGAAATACTGTATTTTACATGTTCACTATGTTAACTGTTTTAAGTTCTCAGTTGGTTCTGCAACTTTGTAGCATAACATTCCAAATAAAAGCAAATGCTTACTGGGAAGTTAACCCCATCATGTCTGAGTTTTTACATGTGTATCCCACAAAATACCAAATGTAGATAGTATGGAAGTATTTTAATTATTATTTTTCTTGTATTATCTGCAATGGTCTGGACAGCAGCCTCAGAAAACTGCTGAGAAATGGGATTTGAAGTGGATCAGTTTTTCCCTA